TAACACTAGCAATCCACAAAAGTCAATGTGAAGTCTTTTCGGCTTATTGATCACACCATCTTCAGCTACCTATGTGCTGAAGACTCCAGTTGACTTTTGCCTCTTGCAGTCACAGTCGCAGGAGAATGCATTCTGACCTTCATTAGTGATGAAATGGCTTTAAGACCTGCTAATCTAATGAGACTCTTCCTCCTTCAGCCACAGTTTCAGTTTTTGCAGGGAATTTATTCATTCATACCGAAATACCTCTCTTACAGACTTTAGTTGGTTTATGCTTGACATCAGAGAGGAATAAATTTCTGCTTTGCTATTGCTTTGGGAGGAAAAGTGTTATGACTAGTTCTTCCATTACATTACATTCTTCTCCAGATTATTCTCTGAATTTGTCTTTTTATTTAACTGCCCAAACTGTTTCATTAACTGGAGGCTGCTCTTAATGGATTAAGATTCAAGGAGACACAACTGCATTTGGTTTACTTTTAGTCTCTAAATCCAGTTTGTTCCTAAAACAGGGAGTATGAATGTTTTCTTCCTGTTTTCATATGCTTTCTGTAATGTCTGAAAAGGCATTAAGATAGTGATCTCTCTAGATTAGTGCTAGGATGTGCCCCTCAGACCCATCCCTTGGTATGGGGATCCCTGTCTCACCTGGTTTGTGGGGGGGGGGGTTGTTATTTTTAAATAAGTAGCATGTTGCAAAGCACAGTATATTTGCAGCAATGCACTGGGGCCTTAAGGTCTCACTAGAATTATAGAGAATATTCCAGGGGAAAAGTAGTTCACCCTCATGGGTGTTTTGTGATTGGCTGTGCCTACTGTGGCAACCATTTTGTTGGCAGGTAAGTTTCCTGGGGTAACCATTTTGATCCACATGCTCTCAACATTCTAGATGGGCCTCTGACCTAAAAGGATTTTGTATTTTGACCTAGATGATTATTGAAGCTAAGCAGAGGTGAACTATAGCAATAGTTTTGATGAGAGAAAAAATATCAGAAACTCCATTTAAGAGCAGGCTATATTTACAATGGTGTATTGGAGAAGGAAGATGTATGGGCAACAAAACTCTAGTACTCTTTTTGGTCAATCTTAATAAATTTAGTATTGTGTTATGTAACTATCGTGCTTTCAGTACATGTGTATGATGTGTCACTATAACCGCCTACATTTTGCACTATTGGTTACGGCAGTGCTTCCCAAACCTTTTCCTTTATTACCCAAAACTGCTTATCAGAAAGTCCTTTTTACTTAAGTCAATTTAAATGTCTCTGTTGTGATGGGAAATGGGTTTGTGTGTTGTTACCCAAAGAAAAAACCAATTTTGGGTAATTTACCCAGGTTTGAGAAGTGCTGGCTTAGAGGGTTCCAGAAGGACAGTTAAAAGGTACGTCTGCCACCAAAATCACTCCCTGAAATGAAATTTCACTGTGTGTGAGATGGGTGGCTATATAAATATGATAAATAAATAAATGTATACATGTCCCATGTGATATTTTATGTGGGTTATTCTCACATTGGGTAGCCAAGATGTCTGGTGACTATTGAAGGTATAGTCCAACAATTTGTGAGGATTCTTCATAACAGTATCATTCCCAGATTACATTAAGAGGTAAACTATAGTTAAAATTATAGCTGTCAGTTAACATCACGCTTGAAACAAAATGTTCAAAGTTTTTGTTCAGCTCAGAATGTGTTCAATGTTTTGTTCAGCTCTTTCCTTTCTTTATTTGTCTTTTTCCATCTCTACAGTGTTCTTATATACCCAAATGTGGAAAGAACTTTGAAGAGTCTTTGTCCCTTGTGAATGTCGTGATGGAAAATTTCAAGAAGTATCAGCACTTTACCTGTTTCTATGACCCAGAAGGCATTCAAAAGAATGTGTTGCTAACTAAACTTTACAGTTCCAATGTGCTGTTCCACTCACTCTTTTGGCCAACATGTATGATGATAGGTGGACTTGTAATTGTTGCCATGGTCAAGTTGACCCAATATCTGTCTCTTCTTTGTGAAAGGATCCAACGGATCAACAGATAGAAGCAATCACTTGCTTCTAGGATTTGACTTACAGCTGAAATACTGTTGTTTTTTCCATTCTTCACCAAAGAACCTTAAGTTTGTAATGTTTCTGTTCTAAGTTCCTTATATTTTTATGAAGTAGAGCAATAACGAAAAAGGCTGTTCTATATGCAACTGTGATGTTATTATTATGCAGACGATGAGAGAAGGGATTACCGTTTGCATTGGCCATCTACATGATCTTGATTTATGCTGCAACTTAGTTATTTTTCTTCTTCTCTTCTTCCTCCTCCTATTCCTCCTTTTTCTACAGCCAAAACAGGGCTCAGTGTGATCATTTGCCAAGCCTTGTTAATGAATGGATCATCATCTCAGCGCAAATCTATTTTGGAAGGTTCTCCTGCATGGCCACATGTCTTCATGTGGACCATTTATGTTCCACTTAGGCACTGGGAAGGGGAAGAAAAGGTGCAGAATGGAGTGGGGGGGATGGTGAAAGGTAAGAACTCACAATTTGTCTATCTGAGGTGGAACTAAGATGGAACATTTGATCCAGAAATCTTTTGCAGGTATAGAATCTTACAAACACAGGGGGAAATCCAAAGTCACACATTGCTGTACACCCAGGCCCAAATCTAGTGGAGCATAATCTCACTTAAGTTCCATGAAATTGATAAGACATTTTTGTAACGAATTGTTTTAATAGGACATGAGCACAACTTGCCGCCTTTGAACTGTGGGAGGGTTCAAAATTCTGGATTATGGCAATAGCAATTATGTTGACCTCATACTCAGGGTTAAGCTTTCCTTTCTGGCATTTTACATATCTACTGAAATGTTTATTAATTTGCAGTATCTTTTACTCATGGATCATTATCTACCAAAGCTATAGCCAAAAGAAAAAAAAATCCAAGATCTATAAAATTTGTCAACTACTTTTCATTTTCTATTCCAGCCTGAGCCCTGTTGGCAGAGATGGGACCAGAAAACATCTTGCATTCAAGTTTATTATGCACATTTTTCTTGTATTTGCTACCATATCACTGTAAAGAAAAACTTAAAAGAAAACCACACAGTCAGCTGTTTTTTTTTAATTTTATTTTTTACTTCCAACTATTTTAGATTTTTTTTTATAGGATATTTAAAAAAAAAATACTAGACAACAAGATAAAAATATACTATATCTAGTGGTGTATTGTAGTATGACTATGTTATATTTTATTATTTCCTTTATTAACTGGAAAGTGACCAGTACTCTTCTTGTATTTCACAGTGTCCAAATCTGGATAGAACCATCACAAAGAAGAGAAAAGGTCTGGGGTGTTGTCATAGATGCAATTAGAGTTGGCATTGCAGTTGAAACAAGTTTAGGTCAGGGGTCTTCAAACTTTTTAAACAGGGGGCCAGTTCACGGTCCCTCAGAATGTTGGGGGGCTGGACTATATTTTGAAAAAAACATGAGAAATGGAGGAGAGCCGCCGGACCCGGCATACCTGTCAT